TGGCCATAAAGAAAGAAAGCTCTGGAAGTGTTGCCACAAAAATGATAACCTGCCAAGAAATAACTAACGGATTATAGAAATGCTTGCTCTAAAACAAACTCTGAAAACAAATGAATTAAAACAGGTTCATACACACTTTGCCATCATCCTACCCAGTACCCAGTGAGATCTAAAACTGGTGCAGGGCTTAAAAAAGAATTCAGAGTAATTTGTGACAACAAGCATAGCAATGGGGCTTGTCATGGTAGTTATTGAGGAAAAAAGTACATCTATATAGTACATCTATGTACCTAGTACAATTTCAATTTGTCCTATCAAGAAAAATGCTCAGACTTTGCTGTCAGTCATAATAATGTAAATCCTGAATAAGAGCACAGTCTGCAGTGAAAACTTAAATCATCTCTGTGAATTTCACATACATCAAGTCATTTATCTCCATCTCTGCTTTAGACTATACTGCATTGTTTAGTATTTCATAGCTTGAAAGCATCAATCTCACCACTCATCTGGTCCCTATTACCATAATTTCTGAGCAGTTAGTCTGTCTTTCTCCTCTCAATGCCCCTGTGAGGTGGGGAAGTACAGATGATGTTGTTAAGCAGATGAAGAACATGAAACATATAAATTTAGGGATTTGCCAAAGGGGATAAGACACCTTGGTTGCCTATAGGTGTACTGGTTCATGTTCTAATTGGAACACTTAGTATCACCCTCTCCCCACCCTGTGTTTTAAAATGGCTGCAAGGCACTTTAACTAAAGCTTGCCAAATGAGCTTTCATTAAAGTGCCCCCACAGCCATTTTAAAATGTGGGGGGCTTAATACACATGATTGTGAGCCATTTTAATTAGAGTGGCTGTCAGGGAACTGCTCTAATTAAAATGGCCCATCCCCACCCTTGAGCACGTGTATAGGCATGTCTAAAGTTTAGCAGAGAATTGGAGCTGGGTCCCTTGAGTCTCAGGTTAATACCTGTGGACCATCTTTCCTAGTGGCAAAAAGGAAGACACAATGTTCAGAAGTAAGCTTTCATGTAAGGATCAGTTTCCATACCAGTTTATTAAATTCACAATAAAATAAAAACTTTTTTCTTTGGGTTAACCCAAACCATGTGACAACAACAGAAATTAACATTGATTTTTTTTTTTTTAACTGAGCCAAATGTTACAAAGACTCCAAGTCACAAGATTATACATTCATCTTATTATGCATTTTGACCTTATACTTTTATTCCTTCATTTTAGCAGAGATTGCTCCAACAACTCCAAGTCCTGTATGTGCCATATCATGACTTTACACCTACTGGAATGCTGATGGACCATGAAGCTGTTCCATAGTGACTTAGGTAATGTAGTATACCCTAACGCAGTGAGGAACAACCTTTTTGGCAGGTATGCCACAAATAAGCACCATACCTTCCCTGAGTGCCACTCCACTCCCTTTCCCTTACCTGATCTGTTACTCAGCGTTCTGCTCCTTGCCTGATCAAATGCACTGCTTTGTGTTCCCCAACTCACACCAATCTGCTACATGCAACACAAAGAAACTATCTGTGACAGTTGTGCCACCCATACCACAAGCTGGCCACCCCTGCCATAGATTATACTGCAAATTGTCCAGTGTGCCAGTGCCTATTATTCTTATTAGATATTTAAATACATGATACAAAACATGCAACTGTCACTGTCACTTTCCAGAGTTGCTTCTTGTCAGATTCAGGGCTCCACGGTAGCTATGACATCCCAGCAGAATGCTTACTTGAGGGCCATCACAGAACAGGAACTACCCAGGGACAACAGGTGGTAAAGTAAATGTTAGAGAATAGTTAATAGGGAAGCACGGTAAATTTATCATACAATTGCCAGGGAATCTTGCACTTACATGTGCCACCATAACACCATGCTGTGTACACATGGAATATTAAGCCCAAAATATGTAACAGGATGTGGTAAAGATCAAACTGTAATAATTAGAATTGCTACTGCTTGTTCATTTATACAGGCATGTTTGGTCTAAGGGATGGAGATAAGCAGAGGACCAGTGTTGCAGACTGGTCAGTGGGGAAGAATGAATGAAACTGAATACCTGAAGGATATTAAATAGCTAACAATAATAGCAATAAGAAAGGGAAAATCTAAACATCAGGTGAATGAGCTGGTTTTACTCTGATTGAGTTTAGTTGAGTCTTCTGGTTTACCGGTGTTAGAAACTAGCATGGCAAGCTTCAGAATACTGAATTCAGCTGCCTGTTACAATCTGTTTGGAAAGGGATGCCTCTGCCCATATAAGAAGAAGAAATGTTAGTCTCCATGCCCCACTCTGACACTGGTATTATTGCTGAACAGCTATAATTTAGAGTGTGACCTCTGTGGGCAGGGACCCTGTCCTTTATATGCATTTGGATATCAGCTAGCACACTGTGGAAGCTAATGGAGACTCATTACTGTTATTAGTTAATTTTTTAAAAAAATCTATCATGATACAATCTAAGCATCAATACCTACTAGATGACAAATAGCAGCTTCTGCCAGCTGAGGCTGGATTTGAACTTATAACTAAGATATAGATACTGTACCTCTTTTTCACTCCCTACCTGAAGTATTCATTGTGACATTAAATGGGTTATTTGGGTGAAAGAAAAACAAGAGGCCTAATCCCAATGAGAGTGTCTTGTGAGAGGGCAACTGCCTCAAAAATCTCATTTATTTCTGTTGGAATCAATGATGCTCAGCACCTATAAGGATTAAATTTTCCAGCGCCACAGTGGGAGTTAGAAGACAGCACACTTCACTATAATGGCACAATACATATTTTCACAGTAGATGTTACAGCTGATGAGCAATAAAGTAGAAATCAGGGAACTATTAACAGGTTTTGTTATGTTGTGTGAAATGCTTATTACCAAAAGCTGTCTCACTGTGTACACAGCCTCCACTAGGCAACATGTGGGATGATAAAGGCAAATGAGACTTTAAAAAAAACCAGGCCTGTAGTTGTAACTTTCTGACTGAACATCTGAGGGAGCTGGCAGCAAGCACTTCACACAGCACAAACAGAGGGAATCTTAGAAGGCCATTTGGGGAGAAAGATGGGAAAAACTTGGTTGTTTCTTTCAAAATAAAACTTGTTTCCCCTAAGCAGCAATGACAGCTGGAGACAATTATCCTTTCTGAAAAGAGAAAATCTCAGTGAGCTGGCTGGAAAGAAACAAGAGCTTTCAGGAGTCTTTGGGAACAAACATGACACATCTGTGCTCACTTTCCCTATCGTGACTGCAAACAGGGTAACTTGTTTGTCCAGCTGCATTACCCAAGACACAGGAATAAAGACGGTTCTTCTGAAGGTACAGCTCCTAAACAGCTGTAACAATCTTCCCAGAACAACTTGCTCCCCATCTACAATAAGAAACAAAGCACACTGCCTTTCAAAGCTATCTGCTTTCCTGTAGCCAATGCTTATTGATTGAGAAACTAAAGGCAAAACATAGGTTCTTTACACCTTTATAAATGAAAATTACATTTTGAATTTCAGGAGCTTTCTTTGCACAGACTGCCAAATGCTTGATTCAACGTATGGCGCAGTGTCAGTTTATTTTGGTAAAGTATAATCTTAGTCCCCTTTATCTACACTAACCCATCATGCCAAAAGCTGTTTTGAATACAGCAATGTTAATCAAATCTGGCTTCATTAAAAACCTGAGATATCAACAGCATACATGGATAAAAGGGATATCAAGTGCCTATAGTCCTCTCCATGTTGATGCACAATGCAGCACAGATTAGTTCGGTGATCAAATGAAGCATACTACATAAAATGGTTCTTAATTAGATTACAAGAGGCAACTGAGAGGCAATGGATATTTTATACCCATAAACAGAGTTAGGATATAGACAAATATAACAGTTAAATAGTTTTAAAAGGGCAGGAGGCTAACAGAAGACTTGCCCATTCTGTGGCAACTGTTTTAGGTGCCCACTCCCATTCTGTAACTAGTGGGAGTTAAATCAGGACAACTTAACCTATAAATGAAACAGGCTCATGTTACCATATTTTATAGGAGAGGAGCAGACAGACAAAACTCCTACAGAAGACTTAGCTGATGCAGTCACACACAGCATTTGCAAACTCAGCTCTTTACTTTTCTAAATGGTATGCAGAAATTGCACACAGACACCATTAAAAAGCAGTTTACCTGTGTCTCTTCTCTCAAACAGTAGCATTTTTTCTACTTCAGAAGAAGTATACATGAAAATGCTTTTAAAAAGTCCTGCCATATCCTAACTGCTTGCTCTTTTCTTCTTGAGACAAAGTAATATCTACATGATACAAGCTGATATTTATAGATCACTAATTCTAATAAAAGGAAAAAATACCATCCAAGTGGCTGTAGAGAATTTGGGATGCCAGGGGAGGGGGGATAGTGCTTCACTGAATTAAAAAAGGAGAGAGAGAGAGAGAGAGAGAGAAACAAGTTAATTATTCTAGCTAATGGAGATGCTGTGTTTGATCTTTATTCTGCTAAAGTATTGGAGCAAAAGCCTTTGCCTTTCATCAGTAACTGAGTATATTGCAAAACTGTGCAAATGGACTCAGTCAGGTTTCAATAATACAGATACATTTAGTCAGCCAAAGGAAATGATGGAAGGGGGTCTGTTTCTGGAAGTTGATATTTGACCTTTAAGAACACTGATACACAATGATAGAGCCCCAACAGTACATTCTGTTTCCAAACTTATTTTAAAATCACCTTAAAGTTTACAGCCCAAACACTCTATATGGGGCATAAATCCAACACATCACTGAATGGGTAAAATGATCAGCTTTCTGGATGCAGCAGATATTAATGAAAATCTTCCTTCTCTGGATATAACTTAACAATACAATAGATCATAGGAAGCCAGTGTTTACGGAATGCAGTTTTTCCAGTCAGAAGCACTGAACACAGCCTCATTGTCATTTATGCCTACTAAATACCATTCATTTCTATATTTACAACAGGATGAGATATGCACTAGCACATGGCTCCTTGCACCAGGTAACTAGAATTTTGCTTCCTGTGCCTGGCTAGACAGACACAAGTCTACTTCCCCCCACCACAAAGGCAGCACATTCCTTGTGAAATGCTGCAAGGTAAAGAAAGATAATATCCAGCTGTTATGCTTGCATTCTTCAGAGAGAGGGCTAATAAAATGTTTTGTGCCTTTTCAGAACCAAAGGATCCTGGTACACCTAAATATCAAGCTGCTTTGTTAGTTAAGATTAAAACAAAAGCCTGAAGCCACCATCTGGTAAAATAGGTAAGTGATTAGATCTGAAAATTAATCATCTAAATTTAGAAAAATCAGGATATGGAACCCATCTATTTAATCCTGCTTAATGGGATATCACATATTACTGAGGTAATTGCTGTTCTATAACTACACTATTTTGCATACGTAAGAGTTATGACTCTTTTTCTCTTTGAAAATTAGCTGATGGTTGTAGTACAACTAGAAGGAAAGGACTCATAGCCAGCAGCAATTTTTAGAGTGTAAACCTGAACTCCATAAACTTTACCAAAATGGTCCAGCAATAACTGAACATGGAATCTGACCCAGTACCTTTAATCAAGATATTGAATTAGAGGGAAAATATAGCTATCATTGAAATTATCATGCTTTCCTGGTTCAAAACAACTGCTATCCACGTGCAAGATTTAATTAAAAAAAAACCATAACTTATTGCATTTGTTACTGTCAAGACATTTTCCTCAATAGGGCTTGGAATTAGCCAGATATAAAATGGGCCAGTAAAAGATCATCTTTCATTAGAGGAAGCCCTCCTTCCCAAGCAGGAGCTAATCAAACTGCCTGAGATTGGAAGGCCTCCCTCTCACTCTGAGGATATCCCTCTAATTCCAGTGGATCCAAAAACACAACACTTGAGTCTATATTCCTCTTCCACTTAAATCCACTTTTAAATAAAGCTCTGCAGAAGCTCACAAGAGACATACCATATAAAGGAGAGACTGAAACATGGGTGTGGAACATATCTATTGGTCCATGCTGTCCATTATCAGTCCTTCAGGGTCAGAGCTTTGTTGACATCTTCAGCCCTTTTTGGGATCAGAGCATCTTCCTAAAAATCCCATCCCCAAGGAGGGGAAGACAGACTTCCTTTATCTTCCTATGAAACAGGACATTCTACCCACTGGTTTAATAAATCTTCCATAAATGCGACAGTTTTTTATGCAGAACCTATTCCTTCAGCATTTTATTCAGAACCTATTTCTTCAGCACTCAGTGACGATGCATAGGGGAAGCACGGGTGTGCATGTGCACCCCGAGTGTGCTGGTGCACCCCCTGGCAGCCAGTGTTCCCCGGCAGGGGGCCCCTCCCGAAAGCACTGGCTGGGAAGTGGGGGCACCAGGAGAAGCGATCCCTGCGGTCCCCCCATGGCTGATCGCACTCACCCGGAAGTGTCAGCAGTGTGCCTAGAAGTGCCAGTCGGTGGGATTGGCCGAAGGGGGCTCCCCCGCCCCCCAATCAGCAGGATCAGCTGTGGGGGGGACCCCCACCGGTCCCTGACTGGCTGCTGAGGGGACAAGTGCCCACCCTGACTCAGGAGGCACCAGTTGCCCATGTCAGCACTCATTGTTCAGTAGATTCATTCTTAGGATTTAGAAACCTGAATCCAAGTGCCTTGATTTTCTGGGATAAGACCTGCATCTTCCTTTCCCTAACACTGAAAATTTCACTTTTGCAATACCTCTAAACTCCAGCAACCTTAAGCCCACAACAAAGTGAAATATCTCTATTCTTAGTTGAGCTGCTCACTGTCCAAACAGAACAATTATTTCCTTTAGGAACACAAAATCATCTGATGAAGTTGATGCCTGAGGCCAATATTTGACTTTGCTATCCAATCATGTACTTTCCTATGGGAATAAATTCAAAATACATTCCAATGCAACAAAATCCCCATTACTTCCCAAGTTATAAAAGACTTGAAATAAATACCTATCAGTCTTTAATGCACTGAATGATTACTAATCTTTGAACTACTTTACACAAGGGACAGAGCATAATTGGAAAAGATGACCAGCTACAAATGAACCATCCATTACTCTCTCAAACAGTTGGTTTATGGTCCATCAGGACTCAGATAGTTTACAGAACACTGCCGCCCTCACTGCATGGCCAAATTCCTTAAGAAACACATTTACTTGTTGGGACTTGCATGTTAACATTTTGCTGGTTGTAAGAATATCAGATTTACAGAATAAGCAAAAAAAAAATTCTTCTTAAAGTAGTAAACCATATTACTTCCTTAAGGTCACAGACGATGGATGAGATTCAAGGGAAAAAATAGTTGCAACTGTCCATAAAAAACAACAGTGCCAGCTCAGTTAAAACCAAAAAAAACAAATGTATATGAATATGAAGACTTACCATTTTTGTCAGCTCGTCTGAAGATCTAGAAATAAAGAGAGAGATACATTTTTACTATTTTTGTAGTCTGCCCATGACATTTCTTTTTCCTAAAACTAAATTTATATCCCATTATTCCTAATACTAAAATTATATCCCAGTTCAGATGTTTAACCAGGGTGATTAAGCCCATCTAAGCTTGCTTCAGATTATATTTTTAGTTTATGTTTTAAAATAATTCACAGCAAGGGGTTACATGCCTGTTTTTTAAATACTGGGATCCTGGGAAGAACCCAGAAGAAAGGCAACCCAGGTGAGGTTAAGGCCACAGAATTACAGAGGAAGGAGAGATCTGGGCTGACAATACTGAAATGGCCATTTATTCACAGAACATGATGTCAGAATTTTCTATCCCTTCACAGTGTTTTAAACCCTATTTAGAATTTCAGGTCAGCCCATTCCTAGTCTATAATAAGGTACCCAAATATGCTAGCACAGAAAAAGCTTGGCCCACGTTATCAGTGAGAAACAAGTAAAATTCCCCAAATCAGAGGATTCCCAAAAGAGGAAGTTCTTTCCTCATTAATCAGTGCCCTCTCTGCTGAAATGGCAAACACAAATGTGCCCAATAACAGCATCTGTTTTTTAATCACAGACATATATTCATTAGAAAGTGAATGGAAGCCACCAACTCATTCTCCTAAAAATAAGAAGTTAGCAAAGAAGTAATCTCTTTTTATCACTACTAACTAAGCTACAGTGGCATCAGAGAAAGAAGTGAAACACTCTATACATATTCCATGTTGTCTGAAGACTTCTTTTCTCTTTTAGTGATGTCTTATCTCAAAGAAGAAAATAAAGGACTATAGATTTTATTTCACAGAATCATACCAGAATGCTAGTGCTGACTTTCCACCTATCTGGCTCAATAACTTACTCTTAGTTTCATTACAGAGTCAACAGACATTTAGTTTCAAAAGCCTTCAGCATTTCAGTGATGCAAGAAAGGAAATCTATTCTAAACTATTTTTCTTCCATTTGTTAAGCATCTACAGTGCATTTGGCTGTGAACTAAATATAAGGAGCTGACCATCAGAACAGGGATGAAACATCGGACACTAAATTCTGTCTAAGCAGCATTCTTTCCTTTCATAGAAAAGAAAATTGAGGAAAGGGCTTCAATATGGGGCAATTATCCTCATGTCTCTTACTTTGGGTAAAAGGAAACAAAAAGACATGACATTAATTGCTCTGGCATAAATAAAATGGCATGTAAGTGGAGTTTCATAATCCTGCACTTCTAATTAAAATACTAAAAGAGAAGTACCACTAGTTTTCTCTGTGGGAAGGAGATTACATTTAGGCTTAATAGTGCTGAACAGAGAAGTAGGCACATAAACTAAAGAAGTAAGACCACCTCTTTTGGATATAAATTCTCTGATGAGATAGTGAAATCTGCCATGAAAAGCCACCAGAAAATGTTTCTTCTTTTTAAACCATGTTATATCAGAATTGATCACCTGGCAAAAACCAATAATGAAGAAGTCTTGTAAGGGTTGTGTTTTCATAAGTTATAGAGGAGGAAAAAATGACTGCTGGGACAGGTTTTGTTAGTACTGAAAAATTAAAATGTTCATAGACACTGTAAAGAGGAAAAATACTGTCAAGCTTGACCTCATTAATTTGGGCAAGAAAGAAAAATATGACTGAACAAAAAGAAAAAAGAGAAGATTTCCTTGTGGAGGACACCTCCAAGACAACCATAAAATGAAAACCACTATTTTAATAAAATCATTCAAAGATTTACAAAAATCAAAGGAGAACATACTGTATGAAACAAGGAACCCAGGAGACATATTGAACTGCAGAATGAGTTACTTAAATGAATACTGGTTAATTAAGCAATATTAATCATTCTTCTACCAAGTGCCCCCTGTGCTGTTCCATATAGGATTTAAAACAAATTCTGCAAATCCCACGCATTCTGTAATATTTAAGCATGAACAAACTAGCTCAGCAAAAACAAGACACAAATTGCAGGGGGGAAGGAAGGAAGGAGGTCAAGCCACCCACATAAGCGATACCTTCAAGAGAAAGCAACAGAAAGCCTATTGCCCTTCTCTAAATAAAGACCTTGCTGGGGTCTCGCTTGTGAAACCCACATTAAGAGGACAGCAGGGTTTACTAAGCCTCAGTGCAAATACCGTTTTGAGGTTCAGCCAATGGGATCTGGGAAAGCTTGTTCATATATACACATGTGCAGCAACACACGCGCGCGTGCACACACACGCACACAAGTGCACAACTAGCCAAAGGAAAACATTGTGGCTACATCCAGACAAGTGCAGACGTGTGGTATGAGGTGCTGCAGACACATCTGCAGCACCACACACCACACATGCAGGCATTTCCTGTGGTGCTACTTTTCAGTGTAGGGAGGCTTTATGGCCCTGGGAGATCCAGGTGTCAAAAACCCACACCAAAAGAAATCAGGGCAGTGCAGGTAGTGGCAGCATGCGCTGCCCAAAACCAGAGCCTGGCCAGGCAGAGCCATGCTCCGGCTGCTGGCAAGGCTTTCTGCCATGGATGCAGCTCCAGGAGGCCCCCAGGATCCCAGGTAAGCCACAGCTGCTGACCCCAGCCTCCCCTACCCCACCTGAGGTAACCTGCCATGAGCCAGAGTACATGTGGCATGGGTGTGCCCCAGAAACAAGTAGCAGCAGCACAAGGTGTGCCGCTGCTACTTGTCCATGGGGAAACAAAAATCCACACTTGTCTGGACACACCCTGTGAGTGCATCTATACATGTACTTTACTGTAGAGCTGACTTATTAGCTCTGTAGTAAAGCATTACCATTTACAAGTACACCTGTATTAAGATGTGGTAAATTTATTATCTACACTAGGATAGTACTGTCCAGGACACATACTAACCTTCAGCACAGTAGTTACATGCACCAAAACACATGTGAGTGGGGCTGGCTGGGGTATAAGGGTGCTACAGTGCAAGGGCTGCCTGGCCCTGCTTAAACTGCAAGTCTCCTCAGCTGAGGGGCTCTTGACCCTGACTGTGCCCCACATGTAGCACAACCAGGGCCAGAAGTCCCACAGCTGAGGAGACTTATTCCACATTTTTGAGCAATAACTTTAGAGCTGGTTGAACCTATTTAAGGCACCATAGTTAATTTGTATGTATAGCCAGTCTAAATCTATTGCACAATTAAACCAGGTAATTGCATAATAGATACAACATGTAGAAGGGACTTAAGAAAAAGACACCATGCACAATTTTCCCAGCTTAACCACACAGTGAAGCATGTGAGCAGGACCCTTCACTTGAGTTTACTGCCAAGCTTTCAACCTGTCTGAAAGTCTGGTTTCCATTTGGGAAGGCACCTGGACTGTGTTGCATTGGCACTGCTCCCCCTCAGTGGAGGATTGCCCTCCTTGAAGGTGGCCCTGGGTACGGCTGCTGGCCATTACATCTTTGTCTGGCCATTACATACTGCTAAGCATAAGGACAGGAAACAAAGCTATTGCTAAACTATTGCTGGGTTCTATTTAAATGGATCTGGACTACACTCCTTTGGAAATAGCTTCATGGTTGAGGCAAAGCCCAACAGAATTATTTGAAGAGGTGTCTTCATGAGGAAGATGTCCCATAAGTTGTCTACTTGAGCCCTCATTCCTGTGGCTTTCCCTGAAAGACCAACAAAAATAATTTAAAGGGAAAATCCTATCCACCTTAGTGGGTCCCATTAACTGCAATGAGACTATGCAGGGTTTGCAGAGCCACATGTGGAGACGTTGCAAATACCATGCCTAATGGCTAATTGCCATATGTTTGTGCAGTACCAATGGGTAGAAGAACAAATTAAGAGAGCTCCATTTAATGGCTTGTCAGTTTGACATGGAAACACAAGGCAACTGGACCTACCACTGTCTATGCATCCCGCTGCCTGATGCCCACTGGCATTACATGTCATGTACTTTCTTGGGAAGCTCAACACTTTGTTTTTACTCAGACTTACCAGATATTTGGCCTGTTTGTTTTAAACTCTATTACATTTTTTGGTTATTTTCTTGCTGTTCCCTGCTGTTATTATTCCCCAGTGGTGTGAATCAAACGGATAGCATGAACTATAATGTTGAAGCAGCAAAATCTATTTAAAAGGTTCTGTAAGAGACATTCTGCTCTCCTAGTGCAATTGTCAGAGGCAGAAAGGAAGAAGAAAATTACTGGTACTAGAGGAATGTACGTCTTTAAATATAGCTTTTAAAATAAGTGAAAAGCTCTTTTGGGACCCTTTTTCACCACTACAATTCCCAATGGGTCAAAGGGATCAAAGTAACCCTTATCCCACTGAACTGTACCAAGAAAAACATTCTCCTCAGCTTTACTATCCAGAGAATCCCATCACAAGAAACATGACCTTATCATGTATAGTAGCAGCATAAACCAGAATGAAACAAGCCCAAAATACAGTAGAGAGAGACCAAAAATCAAGTGGAAGACATGCAGTATGCAAACAGGGAAAAGTGTTCCTTGAAATAAATTAGATTAACTGGAAAAATATAAAGGAGCTGAAAGCGACTGGTGGTGACCTGTTCTTTGTCTGTGCCTTATGGAGTCACTATTGTGGCAATGAGGTTTCATAAAAAGGAATGGTATACCAACATGTATGATGAGAGAAGAAAGGTCAGGCCCTGCTGGAAATTAACAAGCAAAAGAACTTTGTGGATACCAGATTACAGCATGATTTAACTGTCTTACCTTGTGTTTTGTAATTTATCACATAAGAAGAGACTATGAATTCACTAAAAGGCTCTAAATGCCAAGTGTATAACTCCTTGTGGAAACCATAAACATGCACTGAGGTTCCCCTTCTACTAAACAAGTCTTTAAATTGAAAAAAAAAAAAAAAAAAGAGAAACTCAGTAGATTAAAGCCATTAATCAAAGTTGGAAGTAATATAGAAGATACTGGGCTCCTCCGTATGTGCTACCTCCCAATAGAAGCAGCAGACCCTCCTTAGAGTGGTGCTG